ATCATAATCCAGAACACCAAGCATAACGAAAAAAAGCCGGTACCACTCCTCTATTGCTAATCCGATTGATACAGCTTGATCTATATACGTGACCTTAACATTGATGTCGATCCGAGCTGAACAAAAATAAGAGATAATATTAGCCTTGAGCATAATTAATTTAGCCTTCTTGAGCGTGCCGGTAGCTCAGAGTTTCGGTAACACGTACCAGAACTGCAGCCAGTGAGGCCAGTAATCCATTTTCAGCTGAAGCCAGCTCTACTTTACGCTGCTCACAGCACCGGCACGCCCGTGAAACAATTGTCTGTGACTGGCGCACGTCCTAAACGTTCCGTGCCTCTCAAAACACTTCCACCGTGCTCTCCGGTGGTGTGCGAGGCTCAGCCGAGACGTGTCCCACCGTCACCCGAGGCGTGCTCGAACGTCGCCCGAGACGTGCTCGAACGTCGCCTGAGACGTGCTCGAACGTCGCCCGAGGCGTGGCCGAGACGTGCTCCGTTCGAAACTTGTGGCGTGCGCCCGCCGCCGTATCGATTGGGGAGCAGCGCGGTGCACTAGGCCGAGAGAGGTGAGCGGCTAAGGTCCGGCTGGAGCGGTGTACTATAGGGCTGCTAAAATCCCGTAGGTGTGGAAGAGTGAGCAAACAGATGGAAGGGAACCTGCTCCAGCTGGAGGTCCAGAAGGTAGACTAGATTCTGTCCAGACTGGATGACTAATCAGGTCTCAGGCTGCTTAGATTGAAAGGCCAGTCAGATCTGTCTGTTCGGACTGGACACTTGGACAGCTATTCAGACCTCCGTCTGCTTCGATTGGAAGGCTATCCAGACCTCAGGCTATGAGGGGCTATATGCATAGGGGAAATCAGATGCCAGGGTAGATTTGACGCCTCGATCAGGATCAATCTGACGGATTTAACAAAGTCCATGAATACGCGAACGTGTCTTTCATACTGGAATGTGTTCCATCGTCTCTTTCGGTAGGCTGGTACGCTCAGATCATCATCCAGAGAGTTATATTTATTTCATTGAACCTAGCCAGAATGCAACCCAGTTGTTGAAAAACAAATTTAACCAATATAAGAAAAACAGGACACTGCACTCAAAATACATGCAAGCAATTGAGCCGTCTGCGGAAAGTTTGAAGCCCATTTCAGAGAAGTTTCCCTAGAAAATCCGTAAACAATTCACAGTCAAGAGCAAACAGGGGGGAGCGAATGCAAACCATCTACTGCGGCTAGAGCCGCCGTTCACCAGAAGACCCTGAGACGATCCTCGTAAAGGCTCCGCCTGATCCCGCGATCTTGGCGGAAATTTGTCCTGCTGGCCAGCCGAGCGAATGAGATCTGTCCCCAGAAATAACCGCTCAAACAAATGGCCGCCGCAAAAGCTGCAACCATTCAAGATTAGACAGCACGGAGGCGCTGGGATCAGAATTTACAGTCGGCGTCGCCACTGGGGCCGGCCGGATCGTCGCGAGGCAATACAGTTGGGCCGTCGTCGCTTTCGACGAGCTGAGCGGGCCACCGGTCCCGCGGCTTACGGTCGAACGATGATGGCCACTGGCCGGCCCTGGTGCGGTCAGCCCGCGGCCAGGGCGCGGGAGGTAATCGCCAACGGAAAGCCAAAGGATGCGCCAGAAAGGAAAGCTCATTTTAATAGCGTCTGAAATTGTTTGTGATTTAGAAGCTAATGCTATAGGGGACAGTCGACAGATCATTACCTACAGTTTTGCTTCGGTACAGAATTGGTAAAAATGTTAGCATTTTTCCAAAAGCATGCATGCTTGGCGAATCAAGCAAGCATCAGTTGAATAAGAAAGAGCTGACAGGATTTCTTCATCACAAGATATATAACTTGACCAATGGTAAGATAATGTCATGATACATTCTGTGTTACAAAGCAGTTGACACTAGTGCTTCTGAGAAAAGACAAAAGAAGGGAGGATATCACGTCTGCAAAATGAATGAATTGCCAAACATTTCTTGTTGCTTTCTCTTCTCGTCTTGACGCCCCGGCCGGCGCGACGCCCCGGCGCCGGGCGCGGGGCGTTTCGTTATCGAGTTAGCTCGTTCTTGCCCGTCCGTCTGTCGGAGCTGGGAGGCGGGCCGGACAGCTCTCCATTTGAGGGACGGCCGAGCGGCGCCGAGGAAAACAACACTGGCCGCTGATCACTCGGAGGGCCGGCCCGGCAGCGACGCACACGAGCCAGAGGGCCGACCGTGCTGCAGTGCTGCAGACGGTGGGGAAGCTGCTGCCATTATTTCATTGTCAGCTGGTAATACAAGATGGCAATGCACAGTGCTTCTAGCACAAAGAATAACATTGTAGTTCCTGAAGCTATGCGTCTTTGGGCAAGCTTTTAATCACTTTTAAGCGTCATTGAATTAAATGTCATCATCCAGCTCGTATCACAACCAGTGTTGCTATTGAGACTGACACATTGACCCAGCAATCGCTATTTTTTTTGCGTAATTTAGCAAACCATACAGCTATATGTAAAAGGTGCCTGTGTATGAACTATGAGACATAAGTTACATACTCTCCCTGACCCCTGTGATATAAAAAAACGCCATCTGCTCAGTATGGCCTGTTCATCAGTTCCACTGTTGTCTGTTTGACTTCAGCATCATCCCGCAATACCGAGAAAATCTCCTTAACGTTGCCCCACCTGTCGTAATAACATCGACCGCCGAGCCTGCTGTCTCGACAGCACCCGCGGCTCATTCCGGTCTGGAACTGAGCTCGTTCCCGCCGCTTTTTCCCGACCTACCCTAGATCATTAGAGAGCTACTAATTGCCAACGATCGGTGTCAAAAGCGTCTCGAGCCAGGCCACACGCCTTGAGGAGCGAAAAACGTGACCAAGGCTCCGGCACCCGCACGCTGCAATGACGTGACACGCCGAATAGGCGAGGTTGTCCATCCATGTCGACGTTTGGAAAGATGTGCACGCGTTCGCAGTTGCATATATTTGGGAGCATTATTTATCATTCATGTTAATTGAGATTCTACGTTCATTTATATATAATAAGAAGCATTGTTACGTAACAAGAACTAAGATGACAATTTATATCTGCCTGAGTTTTGATGCTCAAATTTAATGTTATTAGTGATGTTTGGAAGATGACAATTTTTCAACCGTGTGCGCTGTCGTCTTAAAAACTGACTTTTAACCCTCGCCCGCACATGGGGGGGGGGGGGGTTGGTTGCCACCCCCCCCAGGTAGTCTTTCTGCTCTGCACTCAACATTTTTAGAGCTAGAAGGCTGATTTTTCGTATAGCTGCTCCTCTATCCTTTTTTGATGTCCACTAAAAATTTCAAGTTTCTGTGGTTTTTGGTTTCGGAGATATGACCTTGTTTTTCAGGTCATGTCTTGACCCAAATGGCCAATCCTCAACATCTTGCGTTGGCTATGGGCCTTGTGAGCTTTTGACACCTTGATTTCGGCCTTTTTTGCCAGTCTTACCTCCCACCTATCATAAAACATGTTGTTCGACGATGTACAGATGTCAAGGTCAAGGTCAAGGTCAACCTAGGTCATCTAAGATAATTGCGTTTTAGGCACGCGGAATTTACTTTTTGTGAAGTTTTTTGACTGCATTTTTAGCAAAAGCTTCTCAGATCATGATTTCATGTAATATGGACACATAAACAATCGGTGCACACATCAGTATACACACAGACACACACAGACATACAAACACATATAATTGACCTTGACCTAACTTGACCTAAAATGACCTCAGCAGCAAAAACCTGGTCGGGTAGTGTCACAAAGAGGTTCTAGCTGGCTTGGCACCAGAAAACGGCATCGTCATCGGTATATGATAAGCAACGCACTTGATATCCAACGGTGACCCAAAACAGCAACATTTTTAAGTTTGACCTGACCTGGAAGGTCAATGACTGACCTGAGGAGGTAAAACTGGGTATCACTGGATTCGTCTCTTCCCAAAGAATCTTTTTGGTCTTTACCGCTAAGCTCTATCTCCAATAGGAACGAAATGGCGCGGGGGGGATGGCACCCCCCCCCCCCTCCATGTGCGTTCTAGGATGGGAAAATGGCATGTGCGGGCGAGGGTTAAGGTTTTTAGGGGAGCACCGGCTTGTACTGTATTATGGCAATAGAAACGTTGCCATCACACAAAATTGACCATTTGATCATCCATAGGCAAGAGCGGCCGAATCACCACAGCCGCTGCTCGAGTTTAATCAGCAATGCGGCGCCACAAAGGTTAAACGATGCAGCGACAAATATTTGCTCTAAAGCAGCGGTGGCAGCTGCACTCCCGGCGGCATGGCCACTGGATCAGGAACACCTGCACTCATACCACCTCTGCGGGGACGCAAATCAAACGTGCCGCTCACCCAAACGCCAGTCATTCATGCACAGTTCCCAAAAGTGGAGGCGTTTGACCACTGGCAAGGTCCCCAGACCATGACCATCTGCACTCTGCAGTTCAGCCCGGTTGTTTGGAAGTGAGAGAGGATGCCCTTAGGCGACTTTCAGTGAGGTTAGTTCCGGATTGTAAGTTCAGCCGGATCTGAGGCACTTTGTGACGAGTTTTGAGCTTACACTGGTTCCGACAGGCTGATGCAAGTGCTTTTGTGCCGATGCGATTTACGATTACAACGACGGGGTAAAACTATGGACAGACAGTGCGCAGTACCGGCCAACCCATCAGGGCGGAGCAGACGTGCGGTAGGCCATATATTTTGTTCGAGCATTGATCCCATGGTAATACACCAAATGCATGCGAGCCTCCGGTGTCTGGCGAACGTTTTATCTTTATTGCGGATCGGAATCGAACAAGGTACTGGATTTCATATTTCACGACACACCCACACTTGAAAGAAACAGACTGGGATAAATCTATAAGAACATTTTTTGGTTTTGTATCTCACTCGCAAATTATAGAACTAGACATAAATAAACTCACATGTTTTAAATCCCAGTTGCGCATAAACAACAAAACAATACGCAAGCACACCACGACATACCTGCGACCAGGGCCCCTGGTACCATTTGGGACAGGCGACGAAGTTGCACGGTTCCTGGCTGGTGGGACGATTGCCACTGCAGCGTGCCTCAGAGACCTGTTGAACGTTCACGTCTAGGTCAGAAAAGCGAGTGAGCGATGGGGCGAGATAGATAGAGGTGAAATAGGAGAGATGGAGGGGGAGAGAGAGAGAGAGAGAGAGAGAGAGAGAGAGAGAGAGAGAGAGAGAGAGAGAGAGAGAAAGAGAGAGAGAGAAAGAGAGAGAGAGACGGAAGGAGAAAAAGAGAGAAGAGAAAGAGAGGAGAGAAAGTGAGGGGAAAAAGGGGAAGAGAGGGAGAAAGAGAGGGAGAGTGAGGTATTTAAAATATTTCAGTTTTATGAAAGATCCATAAGATTGCTTGTTCTGCAAGGATTGATCTGAGTCTCCTTGTCCTAAGCTTATGAATTGTTAACAAGGGAAGGCGGCATTTGGTCGCAGTGCTTCATTGAATTTGTTCGAATTTTGGAAACTTTAAGAGCAAAGCTTTATAGTTTATCATGTAAGTAACATCCATTATAGTCATATTTGATAAAAATAACAAAGAGATGTGGACTGATCAATGAGCATCGGTGGCGAGTGCCATTTTAATTTATGATGTCTTCTGTAACATTGGTCATAACAATGTCAATTGAGGTTTTCCTTTACAGCTCATATCACTCTCCATTGCTTTGCGATTACAAATGACACCACTACTGCTATGAATAGCCTGCATTTTTATAGCTGTGAAAGCTAAAAAATGTCCCAGAGTTCCATTTCAGCATCTCGCGAGGAATTGAAACGTGACCAAGCTGCAGCGGCTTTGAAATTGGCTTGGCCGTCTCGACCGATTCTCATGCAAATGTGGTCTGGGAGGTGCATTTTTCAGAGCCGGAACACTGGCGCGGCGCGGTATGATTCAGCAGCAGTTCCTGCTCTCTTGTAATGAGAACTGGCCTGATGGATGGCTGTGGCAAGTTAACTCGTTGAAAGCTACAGATCTTTGTCAATTCGAAGTTTCTCTGATGGATGCTGGAGCTCGTCGAATTGTTTCATCAGAGGGCGTTCTCAGGCTCCGTTGCTATATTGACGAATTAGGCAGGTTCGACGCTATAGACTTGTCTATATGGTAAAATGGTCACCTATATAGCCGCGCGTTAGCATACACATGATAAATGTGTTATCGACAATATATTATCGATCGCTTTTTGGTCTTATGCCAGTATATTCATGAAAACGAGTTGCGGCCAACAGCTATGCCAGAGCTGTTGCCTCATTTTGTTTTTTATTTCACAAACTCAGCACTAAATAACGAAAAAAGTGGAAATATTACATTACATAATATACGCTTCTTCATTTCAATAGCTCATCATATTTTAGCATACGGACGAGCATGCCCAAATGCACTTTCAGCGATGTGCCCCATGTGGCCTTTACAAAAAAAGAATTGCAAAAAAGTTTGGCTGTAGTATCAGTACTCCTACATGCATAAATTATAGCTATGAACTATGACTGACATGTTCAGCTTGAAAACGTTTCACTAGTTCATTTTCGGCTGCAATGTTTACTCTGCAAAAACATTCATAGAGCCTATAGGTCACATTTTGTGATCCGTAATGGAGCCGGTCGCAACAGTCATTTGGCTAAAGAAGCAGAGAGCGGCTCGTTTGCGCCCCCATACAACTCAACGCTATGACGCATAAAAACCATCGGCCGATCGTATAAACGCTAAAGAGAGCTTCTTGTCTGGGCCAAAAAGCAATCAAATGGCGAAATGGCAGTTTACTATTGGACACTGGAAAACCAACTCAGCACTGAGTTTACATTTGTGTACAAAACGTTGGTCGTCGCGTCGAGGCGCTTTGAGAATGACATTTTGAATTGATTGGATCGACTTCGCAGCTGGTATAGATGAAATCAATATTCATATACCGGTTTGTACGATCTAGTGACAGACCATGCCGTAGTGTCCCTGACAGACCTGATAGACCATGTTAATCTGGCGATCATGCACAAAAAAGGCAAATGGCACAAACGCTCAACAAAAAATATCAAATTCTTCCAGCGAAGACCAATGCGAAAATGACGTCTAAAGTAAGCAATAAAGAGTACAGTGTAAAAACTTCCAGACAATGTTATTGCACATACTGTAATCTGAGATGGTCAAAGAGTGGACATAATGCATTGTGAGATTTAAGCTACCTACAGATAAGCCTCCGGGAACTTGTTTGAAACAAATGGCACGTAATTAAACACAGGAGCTATTCAATTTAGCATCAATTAGTGTGGATTGGTTCTCCTTGACTCTGAGCACAGCCAGCATCCTTTTCTCTGCACATCTGCCTACCTGAATCAGCGTTCCGTTGACCATTTCGGCGCACCAGACTTTGCGTCGTTTGTGGCCTCCGTCACAGGAGGAGCTGCATTGGCCCCACTCGTCAGTGGTCCAGCTGAAATAAATCGAACGCGGTTACATAAGCGAGTTGATGGTCATGACACCAATGGTGTAAGGTGACAGTTATTAACACTTACGGAATATTCGGTTACATATTCCAGCCAAAGTCCAGAAGAACATGCAATTTTATGACTTTCTGAAGAAGGTGCAGCTGGTTATGGATGACGAGAAAAATAATTCCATAAAGTATTCGAGGCTTTACAGAGAACGCTGGAAATAAAAACCGCTTCTTTTTCCGTAGAGCCATCTAAGTTCTTTTAAATATTGTAACAAAAAGCTAAAACGCAAAACGTCCATCGTCAATAAGCATCCGTGGTACTCAAAGAATACGGGCAGCCCATTCCCCAAATAAAACGACTAACCCATTTGCTTGATGTCGTATCAAGGTTATGCGAGACTCAGAGCGCCCATCCAGACGGGCTACACAGACGGCGATCCATTTTTCCAACATAATTCTCTTGAAAAGTTTACATAAGGGAGACAAAGCACCAGCTTCCTTGTTGCCGTCATGCAGCCTACCCGAGACATTTGTCAGTCTGAGGGTGAAAAAATCGGTCCATGTTCTGTCGCCAGCGGTAGCGCCGTTCCGTATATCTGAGCAGACACTGGAATGGCCGGCGTTAATATACGACAACAGCGGCCCTATCTAAATGTCTCCGCGCTAGACCGTTCGTCATTGCGGTGCTTTGTGGTTCACTAACTCATGTGGGCAAATTCCTCGAATGGTTTAGCGTGTTAGTTAAAATGAAACATGGTCACAAGATACGTTGAACGTAGCATTTGGCAAAGGATTAAATACAACTGGATAGTTTTCGATCCAAAGACTATGGAGCATTTAAATGCCAGCTAGATTTGCATGTGCAATTAAAAACGAACATTGTGCATACCTACTAGTACTAATAGGCAGTCTTAGAAAAATCGTGAAAAAGTGGTGCAGAAGAGAAACAGCATCCTGGTCAACCGTTTCAATTTCGGTCATCCTGTGATTTAGCATAGAGCTGAAAACGCTTAAAATTCCGATTAAGTACTTAAACATGTTCTAAGCCTCAAACCGCGAGCGCTTATCCGCTCGCTTTGGTTGCATCCGCGTTGCAGTCTCTAGCAGGAGATAGGCTGTACCGCAGCATTTGTGTGTTCACCGGCACAGCCTATCCTCCAGTGAGCCTGAGACGGACGGACGGCGAGGCGCCGAACGGCTGGGCGATTTCTCCACCTGGCCGTCCGTCTGCGCTTTATGAAACATGGCTTTACATGTGCAGATCGGCATGTTATATTGCATAGGCTGTGATATGAAAGGATTTTTCAATATCGGGAGCCACTCAGATGCCCCACAGCGGCACTCAATAACCGATAACTGTATCAAAGGGTTCTGCGACACCTGAGCGAGCGTCATTTCAGCGAACGACATTTGAGCGAAGCATTTTCAGCGATTATCAATTTAAGCGATTGACTTTTTCAGCGATCGTCAAGTCGGCGAATTCAATCACAGCGACTATCAACTTTAGCGAGGACCAGAATCAGCGAAACCAGATTGAGCGAATATATGGTGGTCAATGGGAGACCAATTGAGCGAATACAGTTACAGCAAAAACGAACGCGACGAAAGTCAGTAGGTACTTGGGGCAAGAACAAATTTTACAACATGGGGAACTGATCCAAATTCAAGCGGGGGAATTTCGCGAAAAAAAAAACCAGCCCAAGCAATATGAATATCTGAACAAACGTTTGGTCACTATTCTTGGCAAAGAACAGGGGGGGGTGAAATTGAACCGTTAGAATTTTGAGAAATGTAGCATTAAATTTGAAGCTCAATGTCTGACCTTTAAACGTGACATCCGCCATCCAGTTCCAGATAACCATGAGAAATTACGGAAATATTCGTACGTATACGCTCGCAAAAGTAAAAAAAAAAAGATACACAGTTACAGAACGATGTGTGTTTCGCTGAACTCACAGTCGCTCAAATTGTAGTCGACGAAATAGATGTCGCTGAAACATAGCTTTCGCTAAACTTGATAATCGCTATACTTGATAATCGCTGAACTTGATAATCGCTGAATTGCCATTCGCTGAAAATGGTTCGCTCAAATGACGTTCGCTCAAATGACACTCGCTAAAGTCGCTCGCACCGGTATCAAAGCTAACGGTATTGAGCCATCATATACAATGTGCTTTTTGGCACAGAATGGGGGTTATATCCTATGACAAAAGCGATAATTAAACGGCACAACTTCTTGAAGTATTGGCAATATAGTGACAATGGAACGCACTGAGATCCTGGTAGGCCAGCCATGCCTTGTTTTAGACGTTTTGGTGCCAAACAAAACCAAAAAGGCATGGAGAAGTGCGGAGCTACCACCAGAAGGCTGCAATAACATTTAATCAAACTCTGGTAGGGATATCGTCCATATAAATGTGAAGCTCGTTCCACAAAGCGCACGGGTTCAGCAACGAGCAGAAGGCCTTTCCAGCGGCAGAGTTCATTATCAATGCCACTCTGGGACCAAAACCACTCAATTGCTCAGAAAGCTTGGAACTTCTCCAGATGCGGCCGTAATCCTGAATTGTTGGCCACAAAGCCCAATCTCTGGCATAAATAAAATGGAATGCTGCACATAAACAGGACGGCGGCGGTGGCTCAAAAGCAGCCACCAGACGTCGTACGCAGCCGGTTGAGAGACAAGTGACTGCCAATCGATTTTCTAATGTCGCAATTTTTTTACTTAACCTAACAAATATACAATTCTCCTCTGTCTCTCTCTTTTCCCTCTCCCTACATCTCTAAACGTGGCACCTCTGCATATCTACAGGATTAAGTATGTCATTACAATCAACCATATGGATACATGGTAAAGCATGGTAGATACATGACACAGCAACTACAGCAACAAACACGAACAATCAATCGGTAGTGAGTCATCTGACCACATTTGCTGATCTAACCAAACACTTAGTCACGTCGAATAACAAATTTATCCAGTAAAGGAAACATTAGTCGGGTGAATCCCATGCTATTCAGGGTCCATCTGTTGGCTGCAATTGGTTCATTATAGGTCACAGACGGCGCGGGGGTGTGTTGACTGCATCTGTCTATGGGAACGCCCCCGCGGACCGCTGCTGTTGGCAACAGACAGGCACGCGACAGATAGACCCCGCCCCGGCGTGTCGTCGACCTCTCAGGCCGGTCCTCGAGACTCGACCGGCGCGACGCTATTTACTGCAAAGCGATGTCCATGAAAGTGCACCCAATTACCCGCTCGGCACGACAGATAAATATAAATGAGCCACCGGGCGGGTCCGTCGGGCGCGCGGCGACGCAGGGACAGGTCGCGTCGGCAGCGCTATTGACGGTCCGGCGAGACTCGAATCGCCCCAGCTCGGGAATCAGTCCCAGTGCACCCCGACTGTGGAGCCCGTGCGGTGTGTGGTGGGAGTGATTTGCAGCCGACCCGTGCTGACTGGACCTCGTTGGCAGATATTCCGAATGGCTAATAAAGTCGGCACTGCTGGATGATCGGCCGTTTCCATTATGCAGGCCATTTCTGGGTATAACAGCCACTTCACGGGGCCCCATGTTGTTGATTTATTGGCCCAGCTCAGGCACGCGATCTGATGCTGTGAAAAAGGAATACCGCATGCATGCCATGCAGATCTGAGATTTATAAAACGTACGTTTTTTAATAGATAAAAGAGGGTGTATGACAGCTGAGAAATAAAACTTTATCAACACAGCAAAAGCAGTACTTGGCAACGGCATGCCCTAAATCTGTAAAATCCTGCTATAGCAATGATGAGGTATTTCATTGCAAGCGGTTCTTTTTAAAAGTCGTCAACTGCTTTCCACAATTTTCCAATACGAATTTCTGAGCCAGCCACAGGCGCCACAGGCCGCCTTAACCCTCGCCGGACCTATTGGTTTTCTACTACATACGCGCCGGCCGAGGGGGGGGGGTACGACCCCCTCGCCGTTTCGCCCCTGGTGGAGCTAGCGCGTCGCGGAATAAACGAGCCTGTGCGCCGTTACGAGACGCAGAGATTGGTACCCGATTTTAAGGTCCTAGGTCAACCGGTGACCTCTGAGGTCAGGTCAAGTGCCCCAAGGGACGGTTCAGTTTTTGGTGAATAACTTCGCAAAAACGGCCGCAGAGCCGCAATTTAGGCAGCATAGTGTTCGCCTCGCTCAGGCGCGTCGAATGATATACTTTTTCTTCGGGTCAGGTCAACTAAGGGTGTTGACCTCAGGTCAAGGTCAGGTCGGCACCCCCAGGTCACGAAGTTGGTCGAAAGAGGTCCTGTCGCATATCATTCGATTCGGCAGGTCTTCCTGAGTCCATTGGGGGCTTTTTCGACTCGCTAGCTCAATTTGATCAATATTTATTGACGAAAAACTAATATGACCTTGATGACGTCATAAATGACGTCACGCAAGGTCAACATTGCAAAAGTGACGCATCTAACCTTGCAAGGAGTGCATCAAATCACGATTCTGTGTGCTTGAGATAGTTGGAGATCGTTCCCGGCGCCAGAATAGCAGTTTTCATTTTTCCCCATTGACTTATAATGGTGAGGTCACGAAAATGACCTGACCTCATATGACCTTTAGGAAAAATCCGAGATATACAAGTTGTGACACTCATAATGGATACTAGATCCTGCAAGTTTCATTTCCCTGTGACATCTCTTCTGGCAGTGAGGGCGTTGCGAAGTTGCGACATCTGAAGACCGTGCAGAGGTCCACTTATGACGTCATAGGTCAGTGACCTGACCTAACCCAAAAATGCAGTTGTGTCAAAAGATCCGGCTTGAATCAAAGGTCAGGTATGCCAAGTTTCAGCTCTCTATCGCCAGCGTGTTCGGAGCTATCGCGAAAAAAAAACCTGGGGGGGGCGGCACCCGCCCCCCCTCGGCCGGCGAGGGTTAACAAATGCCCAGCTTGAGCCATGGATCCTTCCAAAATCGGTATTTGAATGATTAAGTGAACAATAAAACACGATA